TTGTGAAAGAAGCGTTGGTCACTAAGCTGTACAAGAACCTCTGGATATCACGGCGTCACAAGTCCAGTGCTAATTTTGGTCGCCACCATGTCCCATCTGCAAACTTATCTGTGACTTACCTGATCATAATGCTACGATGAATAATGCATGGTTAAAGCGGCTGGACGAACTGGAAAGACTATCCTGCCAAACCTGTATAAGAAGACGATCAAGTATACAGATGCCATAGGCGGAGGCCGTCGATCACATGCGCAATTTTGATTTGATTGAGCCTAAGACGAGGGACGTAGTCATGATGTTCGCGCAAGGCGCGCACTACTAATTCCATGAAACTGTTAGTTGGGAGAATCAGAGCTACCATCTACGAGCTCAGGACGGAAGCAAGCCGCCTGAGCTCAAAGACGGACCACTTAATGTTGAGAATATCATGTTATTCTACCGCATTACCGAACCACAGTTGGATGAATCGCTATGGAGAGAAGGGGAATCGACTTTAAGACACATCATATCACACAATGAGGCGACTCAGCAGTCGGAGTACCTTGGAAGGTTCTCACACGTGGGTGACAGCTGATGCCTTCGACGACCAGAACGTGGTGTCAGCGTATCGTACGCGGATTCAGAGTCGGCGACAGTGACGACTGGTACACGGTTAGAGCAGCCTGGGTCGATGGTATGGTTGGCCTGGGTTGTGTTCCTCCTGCATGCACGTGTGGCAAATACACAAACAGGTGTATGATACAATGTCTATTTTGTAGGGATACTTTAATTAAGTACTTATACATAGACTAAGCATTAATAGAAAGATATATGACATTCACATTAAAGGATTAGCTTGTACACTAGCTGACACACATACATGAAACGCTTCATATACTAAAATGGTTTGGAAGTGGCGAATATATTTTTATTATATAATGCTACGTTGCACCATAAAGAAAATCATTAACAAACACACAACACGAAGCAAAGCTAGAACTACAGCATATTGCTACGCTGCATCGTACAGGAAATCGATATAGAAACTAGCACGCCACGCGGCGCTACACACGAGTGTTGGTCATGGGTGGCAAGTATATATGTGCTTATAGTGCAGGCGAGCACCCTTTACACTCTAACTCAACGGAGAGCAACCTTGAGGACACCACGCACTGAACTTTGAGTGAGCACTTAAGAATCCGTGAGCAGCGACAGCTTCAAGCGTGTTACATGGTACTCAGTCGATAGATTCGTCCTGAGAGGTGTTGAGTTGGTATAGCACTTTTACATAGAAGACGGAACTTGTATAGGCGCTGTGACGGAGTCACGAGAAGCGTGTCCAACTCGAGAATGCTCATGAGTCCACCAAGCCACACTCCCTTCATATATATCACTTCAAGAATTGTGAACAGTTATTTAAGAAAAAATACATCAGTACATCAAGTATAGAAAAGATAGTCAGGTACAGTGTGTAGTTGTAAACAGGATTGTCACGTCGAACCTATGATATTGGGGGTAAAGAAGATATTCGAGCGATATTAGAACGGTTGCCTTGTACACTGGTAAACAACACGCACACTAGGCAGATAGAAAGTGAATAGGTATAGACACGTATATGTCTTAGTCAGATATATTATTTTAT